TCAGAGCCCGACACGGAGCCACCCCCCCGAGGCTCGGAGGCTCCGGCCCTGTCAGCGGCTCGTCAGAGACCGGGGCCCCGCACACGAGACGGGACTCGCCCCGAGCAACGCGGCTCAGCCCAGCCCCCCGGGCACTGGCCGGCAAAACCTGCTCCTGCGTCATCAGAAACGCGTCACTTGCAATTGCTGATCCGCATTTCTCCTCAGTCCGAGCACCGCAGCCACAGCAGCGGCGACGCTGGCACCGGAGTTGCCATGGAGCTGCAGGACGAAGGGTGTTGCGGGGTCAGACAATGCCATCACCGTCCCCCCTGTCTGCTGATTCCTAAAGCGCCCTTGCCTGGCTGGCATAGTCCACAGTTGGATTTTCCCTGGGCTATCACAGAGCATTCCCTGCCTTCTGCTTCGGAAGAGGTGCGGGAATGTCAATGTGGCCCTTTCTGGGATTGTCACTAAAACCAGATGCTCGGTAAAGTTTACATGCAATGTAAGAAATGCTGCCCCCAAGCAGCTCCTGCCACCTCCATCCTTTGCCTTCCACTTGGCACAGGGATGTGCCTATGAGGGACCATCCCGGGGAATTTCCATGGGTACCAAATACACTTGAGACAGCAAATGATCTTCTGCAGAATGAACTTCTCATCTGGAGTTCCAGCTTTGGCAGCAGGATGAGGGAGCTGTCACTGCCCCTTGGCCACAACCCAGCTCTGGGTGGTGCCACCCAGCAGACTCCTTCAGTCCTTCCTTGCCAGGATCCTGTTCTTAAACAGAAGCAACAAAAAGTTTTTGTCTCCCTTGGCCACAAAATCTGCCCCCAGCACAGTGTCCTGCTGGGCCCTTATCTCCAGCTCAGCCCCCTGAAGCAGAGACTCCACCAAATCCTGTGAAATCCTGGGTCATGGGGCACAGACCATGCAGCTTGGAGATGTTCACCTTCCCCTTGCCACCCCACACATGGTGCAGCGGCAGCTGACCTCCCCAGCACTGCTGCAGCCCTCCCTGGCTTGCCCTGCATCTGCCTCTGCCTTCCCTCCCTGGCCCAGGAACATCCCCTGGACTGCAGCATCCGCTGGACCAGGAGCATCCCTAGACCAGAAGCATTCCTGGCCCAGCCAGGTTGCTCCACTACCCTGCAGAACAGCTCCTTGCTTGTGGAAGAAGGGTGGTTTCATTTTATTAAAACCCAGGCTAGAAGCCTATGGTTTCTGGTTGAAAAGGCTTCTTAAAAACAACAGCTACAGCAGAATAGTCGGGGTGAGAGAGGCAGACAGGAGATTTTTACCTACAGGTAACCAGCGTGTGGACAATCTCTGCTGCAAATCTACCCCTGAGGTCTCTGCCAAGGAGGTGGCAGGCAGCTGGAGCCCAGCTTCCCTCTCCTGCTTCCCTCTCCTGCCCAGCAAGGCTCTGGCACAGGTCTCCTTTAAAAAATAAAAATAAAAAGGAAAAGACGGTCACAGAAAACTAAACACAGACTGGGTCTGCTCTCAGCAAGGCAATTCCTGTCTAACCTCAGGAGCTATCGTGCCTGCGATGCGTGGCTGCCATCCCTGCTCTGAGGAGTTGGATCTCCTTCATTAACAGCAATGGGCTCCAAACACCTTCCCATACTGGTTATTACCCGGCTTTAATGTGTAATGAAATGGTGGCAGAATATTGTGAACACCTGAAGGGTGTCTAATGGGGAAAAGGACTGAAGGGGAAGTGCTTCCCCCCTTCACTGGAGGATTTAAAGGCATTGGGCTCGAGTGCCTATGTCCGTGCGGGGCACCCGCCTCCCCCGGCAGCCGCTGCGCGAACCGAGGGTGTAGCACTGGGCACCTGCCCTGGCCTCTGCTTCTGCCGTGGAGACGTGCAAGGGTCAGACTCCTCTATCCCCAGGGATTCTCACAGCACCCTGGGGATCCAGTGACCCTGTGCACCCCTGAGGACTACTGCCCTGTGGGAGGCTGGCTCCCTCTCCCAGCCCCCACCAAGTCTCCAGCACCCACTGGTGCGGGGGCTGCAGCGAGCCCACCCGTGCCAGCAACAGCAGCCGTGCCTGTAGCAGAGTTTGTTTCATGTCTCGCAGTGTTAAATCACAGCAGACATGCAATTTGGGGGAGCGTGAGGCTCTGTAATGGGCAGCCTCGGGCGCGTGATGGGGCCGGGGCAGCCGGCAGCCGCGCTGCCAGCGCTGCACCAAGAGCTTTTATTGCTTTTGACGCTCCGGACGCGCTCTGAAAGGCGAGTCCCAGCAGCAGGCAGGAGGCTGCTTCCCTCTCCCGTCTGCTCTGCATGGGCAGGGGCTGTGCGTGCCACAGCTGAGACGTCCCTCCCTGGTCCCAAGCCTGGTTGCAGCATCCAATCCTGCACAGGGCTCAGTGGAGCTCCTGGGCTAATAGTGCTATGGGAATAGCACCAGCACAGGGCTTGGTGACATTCCTGTTAAGGGCAGTATGGGCCAACGGGGGATGCTGAGCGTTGCTAGTCCCCTGGCAGAGCAGGATGCTGAGCATCACTCACCCCGTCATGGATGGAAGATGCTGAGAATCCCTCATCCCATCACATCCACACAGACCTTGTGCCAGTTCCTGCACTGTCCTCACACTCTGACACCACCAACAAGCACTATCCAGCATCCACGACTTGCAAGACCAAAGCACCTGCTCTCGGCATTGCTTCCCTGGGAAAAAGCCCTTAATCAACTGAAAAGCTGAAAAAATTATTCTAGGAGCTAAGAGGACACACACAAACAGGGACTAGGGCTCTACTGGCAGTCATTGCCTGCAACATCTCAGGTGACATGCAGCTCCTCCAGCAGCCCTGTGAAAGGTCTCCATCCCAGCGCTGAGATGCTGTGGACAGACCCTGGGCAGGATGTGGGGATGAGCCACGGGAAGCCCCAAGATGCCAAGTGCTTTGATTCCCAGAAAAGCAATTACCATGCAGCAGATTACAGGGCTAATAAAATCCCATTACGCCATTTCAGAAGGTAAATCTGATCCGGGCGCTGCCGATTGATATCAGCCACCCCACAAAAGGTCCCGCAAGAGCCCCCGCGCGCGCGTAATATGAGGCTATAATAGATCACGCTAATTAGATATCCAATAACAGGAGGCCTGATAGGAACTACATTAAAATCTCTTTAAGATGAAGACGTAAAACCCAAGGGAGAAAATTTAGAGTTAATGGTGCTGCAGCAGAGGCTCCGCTGGAGCGGCCCTGGCCCCTCCGCCTCATCCCGCCCGCCGTGGACACGGGGCCAGAGGAGAGTGGGCAGCGCGGGCAAGGTCTCCAGCGCCGCGGTGGCGCTGCCCGTGATTCCCATCTCCCAGATTCAATAAGGGGAACGAGCTCCGAGCTGCCTGCGCTCCCCGGGAGGTGACTTGCCAGCCGTTAGCGGAGCCAAGAAATCAAATTAGAGCCGGCTCTGCTCTCGCTCGCTGCCTGACACTGCTGCTGGCAGCCGAGGGGGAGTTCATCAGGGCCGCGCACTAATTCTTATCTCATTTAAGTGACTCCACGCTGCCAGCTGATGCGATTTGCTCCACACCGCCGCGGGCTCCGGGCTCTGCCCACCACTTCCCCAGCACTTCCAGCAGCTTCACGGGGGCCCGGGCACCTGCAATGTGTACAAACACAAACATATGTCTGTGTCTATATTCCACTGTAGGGGAGGAGGGTTGAGGGGAGGGTGCCCTGCCAGGTAGAGAGACCTTGACCAGCCCCAAGGACATGATGCGCCGCGCTGCCAGCGCTGCACCAAGAGCTTTTATTGCTTTTGACGCTCCGGACGCGCTCTGAAAGGCGAGTCCCAGCAGCAGGCAGGAGGCTGCTTCCCTCTCCCGTCTGCTCTGCATGGGCAGGGGCTGTGCGTGCCACAGCTGAGATGTCCCTCCCTGGTCCCAAGCCTGGTTGCAGCATCCAATCCTGCACAGGGCTCAGTGGAGCTCCTGGGCTAATAGTGCTATGGGAATAGCACCAGCACAGGGCTTGGTGACATTCCTGTTAAGGGCAGTATGGGCCAACGGGGGATGCTGAGCGTTGCTAGTCCCCTGGCAGAGCAGGATGCTGAGCATCACTCACCCCGTCATGGATGGAAGATGCTGAGAATCCCTCATCCCATCACATCCACACAGACCTTGTGCCAGTTCCTGCACTGTCCTCACACTCTGACACCACCAACAAGCACTATCCAGCATCCACGACTTGCAAGACCAAAGCACCTGCTCTCGGCATTGCTTCCCTGGGAAAAAGCCCTTAATCAACTGAAAAGCTGAAAAAATTATTCTAGGAGCTAAGAGGACACACACAAACAGGGACTAGGGCTCTACTGGCAGTCATTGCCTGCAACATCTCAGGTGACATGCAGCTCCTCCAGCAGCCCTGTGAAAGGTCTCCATCCCAGCGCTGAGATGCTGTGGACAGACCCTGGGCAGGATGTGGGGATGAGCCACGGGAAGCCCCAAGATGCCAAGTGCTTTGATTCCCAGAAAAGCAATTACCATGCAGCAGATTACAGGGCTAATAAAATCCCATTACGCCATTTCAGAAGGTAAATCTGATCCGGGCGCTGCCGATTGATATCAGCCACCCCACAAAAGGTCCCGCAAGAGCCCCCGCGCGCGCGTAATATGAGGCTATAATAGATCACGCTAATTAGATATCCAATAACAGGAGGCCTGATAGGAACTACATTAAAATCTCTTTAAGATGAAGACGTAAAACCCAAGGGAGAAAATTTAGAGTTAATGGTGCTGCAGCAGAGGCTCCACTGGAGCGGCCCTGGCCCCTCCGCCTCATCCCGCCCGCCGTGGACGCGGGGCCAGAGGAGAGTGGGCAGCGCGGGCAGGGTCTCCAGCGCCGCGGTGGCGCTGCCCGTGATTCCCATCTCCCAGATTCAATAAGGGGAACGAGCTCCGAGCTGCCTGCGCTCCCCGGGAGGTGACTTGCCAGCCGTTAGCGGAGCCAAGAAATCAAATTAGAGCCGGCTCTGCTCTCGCTCGCTGCCTGACACTGCTGCTGGCAGCCGAGGGGGAGTTCATCAGGGCCGCGCACTAATTCTTATCTCATTTAAGTGACTCCACGCTGCCAGCTGATGCGATTTGCTCCACACCGCCGCGGGCTCCGGGCTCTGCCCACCACTTCCCCAGCACTTCCAGCAGCTTCACAGGGGCCCGGGCACCTGCAATGTGTACAAACACAAACATATGTCTGTGTCTATATTCCACTGTAGGGGAGGAGGGTTGAGGGGAGGGTGCCCTGCCAGGTAGAGAGACCTTGACCAGCCCCAAGGACATGATGCTGTGACACGGAGGGAAGGATGCTGTGCAGGGCACCAGCGAACACATTTTTGCTCTTAATCATACAGGACCAGCCTTTGCTCACAGTCTTTTTTGCCCAAAGGTGTTGAATATTTAGGGAGATATGGAAAGATTAGCTTTCCTGTGCTGAAATTTGCAGGCACATGCAAATTGCTGCACTGAAAACAGACCCTGGTCTGGGTGCAGTTTTTTTGGGGGGGCTGGGGAATTCTTGCTGTCCCTAGGCATGTACTGCCTACAGCCTGTATCTGCCAGCACATCCATGTCTGGCAGGACAGATCCACCCACCACAGGAGCTGTGGTACCACCAAAACCCCCATTCTCCCTGCTGTAAAGCTACCCTGCAGCAGGGCTGTGTCTCTTAGACCTCCCTGGACAGACACCCCATCTCAGAGGGTTCCCCTGACTTTCTCACCTCGGATGAGCTCCAGGAGCCCTTAAGCATTCTCCTTCCACTGCTCCTCCTGCACTCAGGCATGGTGTTTGCCCCTCAAAACCTGCTTTCCTATGGCTCAGTGCCCAGGGAGGGGATAGGGTGCCCCAGGGGAACTGGGAAGCAGGCTGGGTGGGTTCATCTCCCATCCTCCCAGCCTGAAACTTGATGCAGCAGCAGAGGCTGATCGCCAGATTAATTGGGCGTTCTCAAAACGCAGTGGTGCGGAGAAGGACAGAGTGCTGGCTGCCTCTCTGCCGGGGCTCACAGTGCTACTGGAGCAGGGGAGGCTCAGCCATGGTGCCCATGCCTTTTGGGGTGCTCCTGGCCCTGCTGCCACTTGCTGGGACTCTGCAGAACTCAGGTAAGGTGAGGGGCCCTGGGGCTGGGCTGGGGCAGAGCAGATGCTCCCTACACCCAAAGGCAACTTTCCCAGCTGCAGGCAGCACTGTGTGCACAGTCTGCTTCTTACAGAAATGTTAATGCTATGGAAAACAGCATATCTGGGAGAAGCTGGGTCTGGGGACCCCCCTCTGTGGGCACCCAGGGGTGCCTCTGCCTGGGGATGCAGCAGGTAACTCTGTGTTCAGCCGGCTCCATGCTGTGAACTCATCAGGATGGGGCTCTGAAGTGCTCCGGAGTGTGCAGAGTCCCAGCCCTGAGGACAGAGAGAAGTTGGGTGATCTCCTGCCTGCAGCCCTCTGTCTGGCAGTGGCTGCCCCAGCCCTTCACCCCACAGACAGATTTCTCTGATATAACATGTTATCCCTGCTAAAGCAAAGCCAGAGTTTGGGGATGGCAGCATGCAGAAGTGATGCCACACCTGTGGTTTGTAACCTCAGCTCTGCATGCCACAAAACCAGCTGCCCAAGTATTCACAAACTATCACTATTATTTTCTCCTGCTTAAGCTTCCCAGGAAACAGCAGAAAAATCCTTGTGCTGTTTTCAGCATAGCTGAAAGCTTTCTTGTAGATTTGTAACTTGGGTCTTTAGAGCATTTCCCTGCATCCCCCTTAACCCCATCTTAAAAGACAGATTAAAGTTCCCTTCCTAGCCGCTTTTCCCAAGTTATCACAGATCTATTCCAATTAGTCTCTTTCATTATGTGAGAATCAGACTCTGGGGCGGGGAGTGCTGCAGAGCAAAGGCACGAGCGTGGCTCTACTGCTCTGACTCGGCCAAGGCATCGCTGGCTGCCTGGCAGAGAGGACATGGGTTCTGAGAGCGATTTGCTCTGTGGTTAATGCTGCCAGCACCAGCAGCCCAGGGTTGTTTCCATAGGAAGCAAACCCTAAGATGCCTAACAAATACCAGGATACCTAATAAACATGTTTAGAGCCTGGCTTATCTCTCACTTTTGCCTCCTGCACCTGTATAGCAAAGAAAAAACAACCCTGGAAGGAGCCAGTGGCAGGGCACTTACCTGGAAGCAAGTCCCTTGTCATAGCCCACTACTACTGTCCAGGCAAGGTGGAGCATGGCAGACCTGCCCTCCAAGGCCTGGGCAAGGTCTACACAGCCCCATCACACCACCAGCAGAAGACATGAATAAAATGTTAGGTGATGGTTCTGGCAGGTCTGTTTCCTGTCAGGATGCTCCTATTTAATTTTGATGGGAAACAACAACAGGGAAGTGAGGGATGGCAGCCAGCAGCATCCCGCAGTTCACAGCACACCTCTGATGTGGGCAGCCCCCTGTCCATCCACTCTGTCTGTCCATCCACCCCGTCTGTCCATCCCTCCACCCCTCCTCTCTTCCATGCCTCCCTGTCCTGCAGGTACCCGAGGTGGGAGCCAGACCCCGGAGCCTGCTGAGCCCGCCCTGCGCCGCCTGTCCCACCACCTGCTGGCACACTACCAGAAGGGCACCCGCCCCGTGCGGGACTGGCGAACGACCACCAACGTGTCCATCGACCTCATGGTCTACGCCATCCTCAGCGTGGTGAGTCCTTGGCTCCCTGCCCCGTGCTGGGGTGCAGTTGCCCTTGGTGTGGGTGGCTGCTGCACATTCCTGGTGAGGGGAGCTGTACCTGATGTGCTGCATTCTCCTGGCATGGCATGCTCTGCCCATCCTCCAGAGAACCAACAGTGTCTCCTCTTCTTCCTGCAGGATGAGAAGAACCAGGTGCTGACTACCTACATCTGGTACAGGCAGGTGAGCAGATGAGACCTTGGAAACCTGTTCCACCCTTGCTGGGGGCTCAGGGCTGAGCCCACCAGCAAATACGGGTTGTCCCATGGGAGAGGATCATAGCAAGGTCCAACCTGTCCTCTGTGGTCAGACCTCTATGAGGCACAAATTTCCAGGCTCAGGGTTTGTGCTCTGTGTTTTGCACCATTGAGTGGTGAGATTGCTGCAGGAAGAGCCTGTCCTCCCTTCTGTGTCTGACTCTGGAGATCAGTACCCATGACAGGATGCTGCCATGGGCAGAGGTCCCAGCAGGGCAGAGGGGACCTTGCCTCCCAGCCCCTCTCCTTTGTCCCCCAGCACTGGACAGATGAGTTCCTCAGGTGGGACCCAGCGCACTTTGACAACCTGATGCAGATCTCCCTCCCTGCTGAGAGCATCTGGGTGCCCGACATCCTCATCAATGAGTTGTGAGTGAGGCGAGACCCCCCCGGGGCAGTGGCAGGGGCTCAGGCACCCCGTGCCCACCGTGGACACGAGCTGCCCATGCTTTGTATTCCCGGCACAGAGCTGGCAGAGTCGGGCGAGCCACAGATGGGGAACAGCTCGGCTGTTGGGCTGGTTCCAACGCTGGCTAACAGCAAGCGCCCATAATTACCTGCGCCGTGCTGGGGGTGGGATCCAGATATCTGGAGAAAGGCTTTGTGAAGCCAGTACAATGCGAAGGCAGCTGCAGAGCTGCCGGCCCTTCCTGCGATACCAGCCGGCGTCCTTCCCGCTCTGCTGGGATTTAAGGTGCTCCTCCCAGCTCCAGAGAGCCCTAGAACCAGGACACAAATGCTGCTTGGGCTGGGAGAAGGCAGCAGCCCTGGAAGAGCAGGGTTGATGCCAGGCAGGCATGTTCCCTGGCTACTGCCACAAAAGCAGCATGAGGGTAAACCTCAGCCCAGGAGCCCTGCCCAGAGCACTACCCAGCCCTGCTCTCTGTCCCTCACGCCCTTAGTGTGGACGTCGGAAGGTCCCCCCGTGTTCCCTACGTCTACGTTGGCCACCACGGGGAGGTGCAGAACCTAAAACCCATCCAAGTGATGACTGCCTGCAGCCTGGATATCTACAACTTCCCTTTCGACGTCCAGAACTGCTCACTCACCTTCACCAGCTGGCTGCACCACGGTGAGTGTCGGCCCTCCCGCGGCCGGAGCTCCGTGCACAAGGCAGCTCGCCCCTCTAGATGGCCCCAGCGGATCGGGGAAGCGTGCGGGGAGGGCAGGCGGCCTCCTCGGCTGGAGGGGCCGGCAGGGGGCGGGGGCCCCCCG